GCATTATTATTATTATTATTATTATTATTATTTTTCACCTTTCAATGAATTTCGGCTAAATGCTATCTGTGAAACTTTCGTGGGAAAAAAAATATGTACTTGTTGCATGATTGTGTGGAGATTAGAGACCTCCGCTTTAGGAAAAATTGAAGATACCAAGGTTAAAATTGAAGAGACAAGATTTTGACACGGTTTTCAATTGAGGCTCAGCATTTGGCTGCTTTGAAGCCTTTGCTGAAGAAGGAATTGAGCGGTGACCTAAGAAGCCCTCAAAATTTTTATTATTTTTACATAATGCTGTCGATGGGGTGAGATAGGATGGAGATGGGAGGAGGAAGGAGATGAGAAAGGGTTTTCGAACTTAAAGGAGACGACAAAGGGTTTTGGAAATTAACTTAATAGTTTAGTTACGTTGTATATTTTCGTTTATTTTTTCACAAAAAAAAAATGATTATTGAGGAGACGACAAAGGGTTTTGGAAATTGACTTAATAGTTTAGTTACGTTGTATATTTTCTTTTATTTTTTCACAAAAAAAAAATGATTATTGACCCAAAATTTATAATATATTGACCATTTGTCATAATCAACATGTTAAACGATATTCAATTTTCTCTAATTTTAAAGTCGCTATAAAGCTTGCAATCCTTGTCGTTTTAATTTGTTCTAAGAAGCGCATTTAGGTGGTGTTTAGATGTCATCTTGACAGTAAGCGCGTATTAAGAGGTAAACTGCTAAGTTGATCGTAAGATTAGTTAATTTTTTTTCCCTTTTCTAAAAAACCTTTTATTTCACTTTAGTTTTCAACTTGTTTAATTTTTATTATTTTCAAAAAGCTATTTTTTAACTTTAGTTTCAAATTTTTAAATGATTTTACTTGCACAAAAGTGATAAATGACTTTATTTGATAAAGATCTATATAAAATTTAAACTACTACGTTACCTATATTATGTTATTATGATTTTGAAACTTATTGTTTTATTGAAAACTTCTAAAGTATGTATAAAGTTTTTATAAATATGTTAAGTAAGACTTGTTTAGTTAAAAGTTGAAACTATCAAAAATAGTTTAACTTTTGTGTTTCGAAAATTTAAAAATTGTATAATTTCAGGAATTATTAAGCTCCTATTTGGCCCCCATTAAAATTATAATTTATTTTCTATCTTCTTATTAATTACTTAATTTTCAATAAAATAATATTATACGTAAACTTAAAACTTTTTGTTATTTTTTAACTACATTTTCCAAAAAAATTCTCATTATAATGGAGTCCAAACAAAGGAGGATTAAATATAGTATTTCATAATTGTAGATGTATGGTATATGAACCATTTTCGGGTGACAAACCCCTAGTTGTCCAAGAGGGTATTTTAACCCCCCCCTCCCCCCGCCCCCCCGCCATTGGGGAGGGCGCCTGAGCTAGCCCCCAGGACAACCAGGGGGTTGTCCAAGGGGTTTAACCCCTGATATATATATATATTTTAATTACTAATCCCTTGTTTGGGACCCATTTTCGCAAAAGTATTATTTCATTTGTACAGAGATGGAATTTACAGAATTAATACAAAAATTTCATATGGAGTGAGCTACATGTGAATAAAATAGTGCCAAAAAAAAAAAAAAAACCCACCCCGAGTCTCTTTTTGGGAGTGATTTTATTAGTGTTCTAAATAGCTTGTCAATGTGCTTGGCGCCTTATTTGGCGATTAACGGATACGAGGCAAGGCTAAGATGTCAATGCGCACCTAGGCGCGCATTATTAGTTTTTTTTTTTCTTTTTTACAATTAAAACTTATAATTATTAAATAATTTATAATTATTAAATATTTTTTTATTGATTAAAAATTTAAAGTAATATTAAAATAAGGAAACACTTCTTAATGCTTTTTTAGACATTTGCCTCGACTAATCTCGTATTGCTTTTAACTTGGTATCAATATATCGCCATGTATTACGTCTTTTAGAAAAAATGGATTTTATAACCCCTCTTTCTGTACAATAAAGGCCAGTGCTGAAAGAAGTGCATTTTCTCCCCCTGTTTGTGAGCCCCACCCGCTGACAACCAATCTGAAATACAAAAGAATCAATGTTTACTTCCCAAAATACCCTCTCTTTACTAACTCTTGAAGGACCCAACAATGCCCAATTTTCATTAATCCACATGCACACACAGTGTCACGTCCGTCAACGTTTATATACTCCGCCTATTTTGACGTCTGCTTTTCTGGAGCTTGCAAATGGACCTTGTTCTCCTCAATTTTCTTGCTACCTGCTTCTTGCTTCTTCATGGATTCAATTCTAGATGGAGTCGTAGATGGATATGGTGAGTAGACAAAAAAAATAAATAATAAAAAAAAAAAACCTAGGCAAGTTGGTATAGTATAATCATTTTTTTTATGACGGGGGAACTCGTAGTCCCTTCGAGTGCGCACTAGATAAACTTTCGAACTGACGTAATAGCCTGCAAACCACGCTAACCAAGTAAATCGCACTAGGCAAGCTCTGTGCGACATGCTCGACCGAGAAAATGTTGGTAGGGAAAATCGAATTCATGACCAAATACCTCCGCGCTCACCTACTCCAATATAATCATTAACAGGACGAAAACTAGACAGAAGGTATAATAATTATTGTTACGAGTTTAGTGACATTCATTTGCACCACGAATTATTGGGTTTGTGACCACTGAGGCATTTTTTTCATACGTAAAATTGATTTTCCCTGCCGCTGAAGAACATAATTTCGTAGACAAAACCCAAGGAAAACACCAAATTTGATCTAGCACAATTCCTACTATTTCTAATTCCAAGTTTAGTGTTTTCCTCGGTTAGTATTGTTCTCTGGGAGTGGAAGATTCTTGTTTTAATCAATTGTACCAACTTTACATTCTTATTCTAGTTAATTAGTACCCTTTTTCTTGTTTTATTTTTGACCATTACGACTGAACCTTCATCTGCCAAATAAAATTAGTGACTTCCTGAGGGTTTTCCACCAAATCTTATTATAGTAAGTCATCGAACCAAAACCCAGTAGCATAAAACAAAATCAAAGAAATAAATTACCCCGTCGAGGTGGCCCTCCCTTATACTGAAGATTTTCTCCAAGGGTAGATTTGTTAAAATGGTGTAGGAAGGAAAATGTGTATAGTAAAAAGTTTCGGGTAATGTCAGGTGAGGGGTGTGTAACGGATTGATTTTTAATAAAATGTAATTGTATAATGGGCAACAAACGGGCCATAAATAATATTCAGAATGATTAAATATTTAAAATAATAATAAAAATAAGTAATTTAGATCACTGATTTTTAGTTAATTGTTTCCTTTTATACCTCTTTTGAAAGTAGGAGTCTATAAAACATAAAGATATATGCTTTGATGAGTCCGCTTAAACGGGACTCTTTTGTCTTTCGTTCTGCACTCTCTCTCACAACACACGGCGGAGCAATGGTGATCACCATTCATGACCACCGGTTACCACACGACACCCACAATCTCTACGACGTCAACTTCTTCGGTTACATCATCGAAACCCTAGTAACTCACGATCCCACCATGATTTCACAGTGGCTGTCCGACATTGAATCTCTCAACCACCACAGCCACCATCGCTTGGTCATCGGCCTCGACTTAGAGTGGCGCCCCAACAATCGGTTCTATAAGAACCCTGTTGCCACCCTCCAGCTCTGCGTCGGCCGCCGTTGTCTCATCTACCAACTCATTCATTCTAGTCATATTCCGCCTAGGCAAGTTGGTATAGTATAATCATTTTTTTTATGACGGGGGAACTCGTAGTCCCTTCGAGTGCGCATTAGATAAACTCTCGAACTGGCGTAATAGCCTGCAAACCACGCTAACCAAGTAAATCTCACTAGGCAAGCTCTGTGCGACATGCTCGACCGAGAAAATGTTGATAGGGAAAATCGAATTCATGACCAAATACCTCCGCGCTCACCTACTCCAATATAATCATTAACAGGACGAAAACTAGACAGAAGGTATAATAATTATTGTTACGAGTTTAGTGACATTCATTTGCAACACGAATTATTGAGTTTGTGACCACTGGGGCATTTTTTTCATACGTAAAATTGATTTTCCCCGCCGCTGAAGAACATAATTTCGTAGACAAAACCCAAGGAAAACACCAAATTTGATCTAGCACAATTCCTACTATTTCTAATTCCAAGTTTAGTGTTTTCCTCCGTCAGTATTGTTCTCTGGGAGTGGAAGATTGTTGTTTTAATCAATTGTACCAACTTTACATTCTTATTCTAGTTAATTAGTACCCTTTTTCTTGTTTTATTTTTGACCATTACAACTGAAACATCATCTGTCAAATAAAATTAGTGACTTCGTGAGGGTTTTCCACCAAATCTTATTATAGTAAGTCATCGAACCAAAACCCAGTAGCATAAAACAAAATCAAAGAAATAAATTACCCCGTCGAGGTGGCCCTCCCTTATAGGGCGGTCACACCGATCATGTGGCGGTGTGACCGCCCTACTGAAGATTTTCTCCAAGGGTAGATTTGTTAAAATGGTGTAGGAAGGAAAATGTGTATAGTAAAAAGTTTCGGGTAATGTCAGGTGAGGGGTGTGTAACGGATTGATTTTTAATAAAATGAAATTGTATAATGGGCAACAAACGGGCCATAAATAATATTCAGAATGATTAAATATTTAAAATAATAATAAAAATAAATAATTTAGATCACTGATTTTTAGTTAATTGTTTCCTTTATACCTCTTTTGAAACTAGGAGTCTATAAAACATAAAAGATACGGACCAATAGAGTTTTGCGTGAACCGTGGACTGTGAATTCAATAATGTGATGCTTTAATGAGTCCGCTATAACTGGACTATTTTGTCTTTCGTTCTGCACTCTCTCTCACAACACTCGGCGGAGCAATGGTGATCACCATTCATGACCACCGGTTACCACACGACACCCACAATCTCTACGACGTCAACTTCTTCGGTTACATCATCGAAACCCTAGTAACTCACGATCCCACCATGGTTTCACAGTGGCTGTCCGACATTGAATCTCTCAACCACCACAGCCACCATCGCTTGGTCATCGGCCTCGACTTAGAGTGGCGCCCCAACAATCGGTTCTATAAGAACCCTGTTGCCACCCTCCAGCTCTGCGTCGGCCGCCGTTGTCTCATCTACCAACTCATTCATTCTAGTCATATTCCGTCCCCCCTCGTTGACTTCCTCTCCAACCAGAACTACACTTTTGTGGGCATTGGAATTGAGTCTGATTTGAGGAAACTTGAAGAGGATTATGGATTTGGGTACAATGCGAATGCCGTGGATTTAAGGAAGCTCGCGGCGGACAAGTATCAGATGAAGGAGTTGAAGAATGCGGGGCTGAAGAGTTTGGCCAGATTTGTGCTTGAGAAAGAGGTGGAAAAGCCCAAAAACGTGACTTTGAGTAGGTGGGATTACCCGTGGTTGACGCCTGTTCAAGTGCAATATGCTTGTGTTGATGCTTTTGTTTCTTATGAGATTGGCAGGGTCTTGAATGCTGCTGGATAAATTGATCGGTAAAAAACTCTCTCTATATATAAAAATAAATTGTATATTATTGAATCATCAATGGGTTTCTCAATATATACTTGTTTTTCGTTTAAACATATTTGTTTTTGTGAATGGATCTTAAATGATTTATGCCATCAACAGTGTTTTGAATTCTGGGTTTTGTTTGTTTTATTTTGTTGAAAGAATCAGAATTGATCGATAGATTTCTCGAAACAAATGAAAAGGAAATGAAAGATGAAACATAAATCACGAATCAACTAAGCCCTCTCGGGACTCTTAAAGAGGAATCTCTTGCTTTGTACCTTGTCTTGGAATTGCAATTTTGGCTCTGTGTTTATGGCTATACTATTATTATGCTGTTCAAAACTGGCAATTTCCATACATTATGGTTTTCTGAGAATAAATAGTGTTTAGCATTATGCTTGTTTGAGATTATATGTTGCTCTGATTTTGGAGGTAAGGGATTGAGGTTTTTTGTTGAGCTTTATCAATATTATTGATTGTTGAATACTTTAAAGGTAGGGGGAAAAGTTCCATAGTTACTGAAACTGGCTCTTCTTGACTAGTTGAAGACATCCTTTTAAGATTTATTTTCTGATGATGTTAATTGTCAAGACTAGTACTGGAAAAGAAACTGTATGGTCGAATCTTGAATTTTGCGAATGGATGGACATTTAATCGATGAAAAATTGTTGGTTATTGTGTTCTTGTGAGGTATGTAGGAGTGATAGAAATAGGTGATTTTTTTATTTATTTATTTTTTTTTTTGTGTAATTAGCTTTATTAAAACATTTGCAAGTGATCTGTACAATATAGGATTGTACTAATGAAACGAAAAAAGAAATTAAAATCTTGTCACTTGTGCTGCATACCCTAATGGATGTCGAAAAACTTCATTGGGAAAGTCTTAAATCCTGATAGTCATGTTTCAAATATTTTCCAGCCTTCCAAGACTTGATTGCATTTTCATTATGGTAACAATTCTGATTTAGTTTTCTTTGAGAACTCAGATTGTGAATGGACTGGGTTTTTGGTGCTGTTGTTTTTTTGATGGACATGTCCCAAAAACATGTTAATATAGGATGGAGGGAAACTTGAAGAGGATTATGGATTTGGGTACAATGCGAATGCCGTGGATTTAAGGAAGCTAGCGGCGGACAAGTATCAGGTGAAGGAGTTGAAGAATGCGGGGCTGAAGAGTTTGGCCAGATTTGTGCTTGAGAAAGAGGTGGAAAAGCCCAAAAATGTGACCTTGAGTAGGTGGGATTACCCGTGGTTGACGCCTGTTCAAGTGCAATATGCTTGTGTTGATGCTTTTGTTTCTTATGAGATTGGCAGGGTCTTGAATGCTGCTGGATAAATTGATCGGTAAAAAGCTTTCTCTCTATATATAAAAATAAATTGTTATATTATTATGCATCAATGGGTTTCTCAATATATACTTGTTTTTGTGAATGGATCTTAGATGATTTATGCCATCAATAGTGTTTTGAGTTCTGGGTTTTGTTTGTTTTTTCTTGCCGAAAGAATTGGAATTGATCAATAGATTTGTTGAAACAAACGAAAAGGAAATGAAAGATGAAACATAAATCATGGATGAACTAACCCCTCTGGGGGACATTCTTGAAGAGGAATCTCTTGCTTTGTACCTTGTCTTGGAATTGCATTTTTGGCTCTGTATTTATGGCTATACTATTATTATGCTGTTCAAAACTGGCAATTTCCATACATTATGGTTTTCTGAGAATAAATAGTGTTTAGCATTATGCTTGTTTGAGATTATATGTTGCTCTGATTTTGGAGGTAAGGGATTGAGGTTTTTTGTTGAGCTTTATCAATATTATTGATTGTTGAATACCTTAAAGGTAGGGGGAAAAGGTTCCATAGTTACTGAAACTGGCTCTTCTTGACTAGTTGAAGACATCCTTTTAAGATTTATTTTCTGATGATGTTGATTGTCAAGACTAGTACTGGAAAAGAAACTGTATGGTCGAATATTGAATTTTGCGAATGGATGGACATTTATTGAACTAATCGATGAAAAATTGTTGGTTATTGTGTTCTTGTGAGGTATGTAGGAGTGATAGAAATAGGTGATTTTTTTTTTTTTTTTTTTTTTTTTTATTTTTTTTTTTGGTAATTAGCTTTATTAAACCATTTGCAAGTGATCTGTACAATATAGGATTGTACTAATGAAACGAAAAAAGAAATTAAAATCTTGTCACTTGTGCTGCATACCCTAATGGATGTCGAAAAACTTCATTGGGAAAGTCTTAAATCCTGATAGTCATGTTTCAAATATTTTCCAGCCTTCCAAGACTTGCTTGCATTTTCATTATGGTAACAATTCTGATTTAGTTTTCTTTGAGAACTCAGATTGTGAATGGACTGGGTTTTTGGTGCTGTTGTTTTTTTGATGGACATGTCCCAAAAACATGTTAATATAGGATGGAGTATGCAGATTTCGAACAGAATTTATGGTGCTCTTGAATGCTGGGGTAATGGTTACACTTTTTTACAATGCATTGCTTGTGGTGTTTAGGTGGTGGATTAATTTGAAGATGTGAACCAAATCCTGACTTTCATTTGCCATTGTGACTTAGATAATTTGAATTAAGGGTGATGTGGATGAAAATAACGGGTGCAACCATACCAGCAGTTGATTCAATCACGCCTTTTGAGGTCACTTTCTAGTATCCAAACGTGCCATCATGATTAGTTGTAATTTTAACAATTAATCTATTTGTGCAAAGTAGGTAGACAAAATTTGTTGACAAAATAGGTATTGGCAAGATCTAGGCCGTTTATTTGTTTTGATTTCAAAATCTGGTTTTGAAATGAATGATATAGATCTTGTCAACTCATATTCTGTCAACCTCCCTTGTCAACCTCCGTTGTCCACATAGCATCACCCTTGTTGGAAGAACACTTCATGGTACTGCTTAAGAATTGAGTGTAATTGTTCTCTTAAAAGTTCTACATCTTTATTTTCGTAATGAACTGTAACAAGATCTCTTAAAATACGCAACAACATAGACATGTAATATCAATTAATTGATAAATTCATCGAATAATTGACGTGTTAAGTCACTGTTGCTTAGCTTAATCAGTTTATCATTTTTTATGCTCAGATAATAATTCAAAAATTATTCCCAATAATTCATTATTATACTTGCATGTTGATTTCTTGTTTTGAAGTTAAACATTCAACTTTCTTCTTTGATCTAATTTTTCAAAATTTACGTTGTATGTGCAAATTGGTTCTAACATGTCATAAATTTCACTAATTTTTTTATTTTTTATTTTTTTTATAGGGAAAATAAATTATTAAAATCCACGTGATCATACAAGGAAGAGTGAACTCTATAAAATGTACAAATATTTATATTTATCTACAATTGTTTGCATAAATTCTATATAACGCTCCTTATTCACTTTTAAATTCTATATAATTCACCTTATAAGCTTTTCTATAAATTCTATACAGTGTACCTTAGCACTTTAAACGATTGATTTGAACATAGTACAATTTCTCATAGACAATCCAACAATATGATTAGGCGTTGATAGTGATTGCCAGTGAAGAAATAAAAAGGTCTAGTTAAAGGAAATAAAAGGTGTAGAAGTGTACTCATGGTCCACTATGAGGCCCAGGCCTCCCACTAATACGAAAGGATAAGAATCTCAAAATTTTAATTCCCAAAATTTTTTAATATTATGACCCTAAAAATGTAAATGAGAAAATAATTGAGAGAATGTTATAAAACTAAAAGAACAAGAGAGAATTATAAAAGAAGAAATGTAGAGTTAAAATTCAAGTATGTGTAATTTTAATATTTTATTATAACGATAAACCAATATTTATAGGATTCGAATAAAAGTTATAATTTGAACAAAATAAAGAGTAATTGACACAAAATATCTATACCTATCAAGTTTATTGTGGAAAACGTCTATACCTTTCATTTGTTAGTATTTTCACCCTAATCTTTCACCTTTTTTTCGTTGAACGTCGTTTTCACCAATTTTTAACATAAAATGATCAATATATCCACATATTTAAATAAAGCAAAAAACAAAAGAAAAATAAAAAAATTTGCAACTTTAGGCCCAAACCTTTTAAAATGTGCAAATAACCCACCAAAATAACTTTACCTTCTTCTCACGCCTTACCCCCGTTCTATTGTTGCCTGCTGGCCATTTTCAGCTACCTTCTAACCACCAAAACTATTGGATATTGAAATCAATGGAAAGCCCTTAACCTCCTCCACAATTACCACCCAACAACTACCCATAACACCAACTAATCTTGTTGGAATCAACTCTCAAAATCAGCCACTAAAAAATTTGAAAACTACTAGAATCTCCTCCTCCGGCCACCACCTAGATCATGGACCCCCACCGGACGATTGCCCACACCCTGTCGATTATAATCATGGCCTCAATTCAATCAAATGTCACTCCAGTAATATGAATTTATTCCAAAAGTACTGTAAGTCGCAAACCCGCTTCACTAGCTGAATATTGCAGATTCTTGCTCCGTCCAGTCAACACATGGTCTCGGACCACATGGGCTAACCTCGTCTCCCTCTGATTCACCTTGCCCAACCATGTGTCAAGGCCAATTTTGTCCAGAACAAGTTGAATTCATGGATGAACTTCGGACCTTAAGCGAAAAATTCGGGACCAATGAATTTGACGAATCTATGGTACTCCAAATATTCAATTCGACAATTAGAACCTCAATTGATGATGAAAATCTATAGGTCAACAAACAATTGAGCCAATTTACAAGCCAAATGTTGGATTCAGCTCTAATCAGGTCCGGTTGCATAATAGGAATTTTTTGCTCCAATTACTGCTTCTTTTGATGTCTTTGCTCCAATTATGGGGAGTTGTTGGGTGGCAATTACGAAAGAGGTTAAGGGCTTTTCATTGATGTCAATATCCAGTAGTTTTAGTGGTCGGAAGATGGATGAAAATGGCCAGCTAGCGACGGTAGGATGGGGGTGAGGTGTGGGAAGAATGTGAAGTCATTTTGGTGGGTTATTTGCACTTATTAAAAAGTTTGGGCCTAAAGTTACAATTTGATTTTTATTTTTTATTTCTTTTTGTTTTATTTAAATAGGAGGGTATATTGATTTTATATGTTAAAACTTAGTGAAAATGATGTTCAACACAAAGAAATGTGAAAGGTAGGGACGAAAATGTCAAAAAATAAAACGTAGGAACGTTTTTCATAATAAACTTGAAAAATATGGACGTTTTGTACTAATTACCTTGAAATAAGCTCTTCTAGAGTACATGTGATTTATCTAAATATTGTAATAGTACTAAATAGATATCAATAATGTCTCATAATTTTATAACACTCCTAGATGAATATTTACATAATAATTATCTAATTAAAAATCTAATATGACAAAAATTTGTGAGATAAAATACCAAACAAAGAAAATAAAAGTATAAATAATTATAATAAAATTAGAGTGATAAAATGCTCTCTCGTTAAAAGCTTCTCAAGAAAATTTAGTGTGACAATGAAACAATAATACTCCTTAATTTCTTCAATATCACAATTCAGGTGAAATATGTTTCATGATATCATCAATTTTTGGTGAATGTAGTAACATGATGGTTCGGTAAAAAATAGATCTTGTTCTCT